GCAATGTGCCGTCCCCATGCATGTTCCCCTACACATGCACATGCAGTCCCCTGCAAGCGCCCCATCCCCCATGCATGCACACGCACCATGCAAGCAGCCACCCACACATGTGAGACAGAGACCCGAAGACCAGCTGGCTGGCATGAGGCGTACGCAGATGCGCAGCATAGCTGAACTGGAGTGACGGCTCGCGTGCCTACAAAGGGTAATGCGTGCCACCTCTGGCACATGTGTCATAGGTTCGCCATCATAGTTCTAGTTGCTTCTCTCCTGGTTAGTTTCCATCCATTGTTTCTTGTCCTGCCTTCAGGTGCTGGGGCGAATAGGTTGATTCCCTCTTCTTAGATATTGGAACTTTGCTATCATTTCGCCCCCATTCCTTCTTTCATAGAACTAGACATACTTAATTCCAGAAACCGTTTCTTATATTTTAGCCTCCAATCCCCTAATCTTTGTTGCTTAGCATTCTTTCTAGAGTTTCAACATCTTTTTTACGTTGTGGCAACCAAAGCTAGATGCAATATTGCAAGTGTGGTCTTACCAAGGCATTATAAAGTGGTAGTAACACTTCACATGATTCTAACCTATTGGCAGTTGGCACACTGGAAAGGATGCCATACTGGAGACAGCTGAGAGTAAAGGGTATGAAATTATGAGTTTTGCCCTAAATGCCTCTTAAAATCACTCCAGGATTTCATTTTGCTTGAAAATTGGACTGAATTGTTGAGTTTGCAACTAATTTTAAATGGTTCAGCAATGGAACATAGTAGCTTGCTCCAGATATGAAATAGATTATAATTCCTCTGCACATTTTAACAGGAAAGCAAACATTATTTTTGATACATGTGAGTCCTATAATATTGTTAAAAAGAAAAGGGCTGGCAAGAAGCTTTTCAGAGAGAAGTCGTGGTCTCCAGAAATCATTTTGATTTCCCTCAATACTGCTTTGCATGAATCCAAAGAAATCCTCAGATAATAAAGAAAACCAGAATCTAAGGCTAATGGTAATCTTAAAGCACTTCTGGTTGCTTTAAAATAGTGGAAATAATGGGTTTATGATTTCGAAGTTGTATCTCTATACAGAGCTGAAACCAGTTCTGACATTGTCATGGTGTGCAACTAATAATTTTCCAAGTTTAATATTTCTATAACATCTCAAATGTGCCTCCTGATATCCTTTCATATTAGTAGGCAAATCTGAAATTTTAAATAAGTGGATAGTGGATGGATAGTTGTTTTTTCTCAAGCGCACTTTATTTCCCTTAAAAAAACAGCCCCACACTTGCTAATGATACAGTGACTTCTTTATTCTTTTGAACCTGAAGTATGGCAAAAAAAAATGTAACCAGTTTTTTTCAGAATCTGGCAAATGTTGGATAAAAAAGCACTCAAACTAAATCCTTGGCACTTTCACATGATGAAAGCAGCTTCAAATTCTGTTCCCATTATGTCAGCACAGTTCAAAAGCTTAGCTGGTTTATTTCTATTTTAGTTGTGTTGTATTTGAAATTGTTGAAAAGCTAAGTGTGTTTGAGACATGGTGATCCATTTTCTCAACTATATTGTTCAGTGTACCTACCTAGCTTCTGAGTTTCAGGTCCATAATAAGTAGGCTAGCTTAAAGGTTTTGTTTAAGTTTTTAGCCTTCCATTCAGTAGCCCATTGATAAGTATGAGGGTAGTGAAAAGACAACAAGTGAACTGGGACTAAGGCAGATTTTGTTCTTTGTTACCAGTATTTCAGACAGGCAGACATAAAAACAATAAAGCCCTGTAAACTACAGATGAAGAGAATGCGGAAATGCTGTGAGAACTAGAAGGCTCTTGGTGATTAGTTCAGGAGTAAAAGACAGAAAACCTCCCAGAATGGGAGGTAATTGTGCACGACTGTGTGTGTGTGTGTGTGTGTGTGTGTGTGTGTTTATTTTCGTGCGCACACATACATAAATTTTAAATGCACATAAGTTGAAAGATCACTTTTCAGGACTTATGTTACTAAAGTAAGTCAGAGATGACATGCAAAAATAATTCTTGACCCTTAAATAAAATGTTTGGGTATGTTACTCAAAAGCAGACCTTTAAAATGTTTTTTTTTTTAATTTCAGTGGATTTAGAAAAGCTTGAAAAACTAATGATTGAACTTGCGGACTATTGTTGTGCTGAAAAAGATAGCATCTTCCAACCAAAGATTGGTGAACCCTGTTGTGCCAGGT